TGGCTTCCGACAGTATCTGCAAAAACACAAAACCTTGTCATAACTTAAATATTCTGTGATGTGGTAAAACTGTCATGCAAGAAAATTACAGGAATGTATTAACATAAAATACAAAGATATATTTACATATATCTGCACTGAAATAATTTTTTAAAAATCCCTCCCAAGGCAGCAGGATTTCAGCACTGTCCAGGGTCAAGTCCATATTACTGGTATTTTTGCTATTATTTTATTACTCTTAGACTCTTTTTGGCAAGCTCTGGAGTAATAGAGAATTGGCAACAGAGGAAACATCAGGACCTGACTTGCCATTTGTCTTCTGCACAAAATTCCCAGTGAAGGCTGTGGAATTCAATGCAAACACATAAAAATATGCAATTTTGCAAAATCTTGTAACACAACAGAGATAAGAAAACAATTTCATGGCAAGTGATAAAGAGAATAATTTATAGGTGCTGTAGACTTTTCACAGCAGATAATGGCACACACTGTATAAACCTGTCATACAAAAAAATACAGGTATTTAAATATTTATGTACAGAAAATTCCTGTGTTCTGGCTGTAGTGGAGGTGTAGCCCAGAGCTGCTAGTGACACCTTCCAAATTGGGATGTGAGACCAGGGCTCTGTCACGACCTCACTGTGAGGTTTGCCCAGCAGCAGCAGCCAGGGCTCAGCCAGAACAAGGGCACCAACTCGGGCACCACCATGGGCACCACGCCCATCCTTTGTCCCCATCCCCGGCCCAGCCTGTGCCAGCGCCAGGGACAGGGAACACCCCCGGGAGTGGCACAGGACGGAGAGGGGAGCAAACCCCCAGGACTGCACTGTGGATGGGGTGAGCTGCACATGGGACACCTTGGCAGGAGCCACAAGGATGTGTCGGGCCAGCGGGACCCAGCTGGGCTCAGCTGGCACTGGCTCCTCACAGGGACACAGCAATGGGGACACAAGAGGGGCCCAGCGTGGGGCACGGGGGCCAGGAGGCCCCAGAGCACTGAAACCCTCCACAGGGGTTCTGACAGTAACACTGAGCTGTTTCCCACCACTTGTCCCTTTTCCAAATGCTCTTTTCATGCCATTTCTTCTCCAGGGACTGAGTGCAAACAGGTGTCAATGAAACCCTGTCCCCCACGGGCTCTGCCGAGGTTATGCCCAAATATTATTCACCACCAAAACCAAGCACTTCAGTGATGTGCCATGGTGTCTCTCCCACTCAGCAGTGACCCACAGCTCTGTGTCCTGGTGCTGCTGCCAGGGATTCAGGTTCAACAGTGTCCCCAGCACATCCCTGGAGATGCACTGCTGGATTCCAGGGGTGCTGCCCAGGCAGCCAGGATCCACCCAGAGGGTTTCCCCTGGGAAGAAGCCATTCCCTGGCATCCCCCCAGAAGCTCTCCTGGTTTCTGCCAGGTCCACTGAGCTGTTTTGCACAATGACTGGAGAAGAGGGGTGCTGCAAGGGGAACAGGTGACTGACAGAGAGAGGGCTTGGGCTGAGAAGGCTCCGTTTCAGAAGCAAGCCAGCTCCTCCCCACACACACCAACCCCCACCGCAGGGCCCACTTGTCTCTTGTCCTAAGGAAAGCGATGAAAACATCAATTACACATGTCCTGGAACTGCCAGACCTCTCCCGGCCTGAGAGCTTCTGGCTGAATAGGATGTATCTTCATCACTCATCTATGGGATGGTTTGGTCAAAAAATCAGTGACACTCCTCGTCATTCCAATAGTCCAAAATTTTGCCGTTATTTACAGGAGGTTTCTAAATAGTGCAATGGAATTCACTGTAAAACCTTACCCATATGGCTGGAGTACATAAACTGTAATTCATAACTCCTGAATAAATCCATGGTTTGAGCCTCATCTGCTGTGCCAGGATAGCCAGGGTGTTCCAGCTGGGAGATGTGGGACAGAGACACAAAGTGAGCACAGAGTCCTGGGGAGAGGACCAGGCTGCCCGTGTGGAGAGCAGGGGCTGCTCAGCACAGCAAAGGGGCCAGAGCACCAGGCCCACCTGCACACAGAGGTGAGCTCTGACAGGTGACAGAAGGTAATGAGGTCTCCCTGGTACCCAGTAATGACACTGAAGTTACTGGGGGCAGAGAGGGCAGGTTCCCCCAGCACAGCCTAGGCACAGAGCCAGGGTAGGTGCTCTCCTGTAGCTGGGAGAAGGAGCAGGAGGACAGCTGATTTCAGCCCTCGCTCATTGACTGGCCACAGCCCGTGAGCTGTAATTAACACAGCTCCTAACAAGGCACAGGACCCATGGCTGACACCAGGGACCCCGGGCCTGACAGCAATTCCTGGCTCTGCCCTGAAAATAACCATGCAAATGGACCCAGAGCTTCAGCTCCCCTCCTCCTGCACACCCCTAAAGACTTCCATGAAAACACGTCTCTGCACAAGTGCAGCCACACACTAATTCCCACATAAAACTGTGGGAGACACGCTGTGTGCCTGCCTGTGCAAGATCATTTCGTACCATTCCGCCTTCCTGGTCTGTTCATGGAAACAAGAACTGCACCAAACTGGTCCTGACAGAATCCGATCTGTCAAAAGCATCTCCCATCCATTTCTGCATCAGGAGCAGCCAGCAAGGACGCACACACCGCAGCCTCCCGGTGCTGGCAGCAAACAGCTGCTGATGGTGTGATGGTGACTGCGGTCCCACCGCGCACCTGGGCCACCAGAGCAGCCGTGTGGCACCAGGGCCTTGGGGTCAGCCACAGCAACCAAAATCCACTCTGCAGCAGTCCAACAACTAATACGCTGAAGGCCCCTGCCAACAAGAAAGGCAACACCCACAGCTGGAGCAAGGCAAGATTTCCCATCTTATTAAGAAGTTAAGACAGGTATTGGCAAATTATATACAGTACTTGTACTTTACACTGAAAATAAAGCAAATCAAAGGGTGAAATACAATATTCCTGTCTCATAACCAAGCAGCCTTGCAAGGCCACCCACTCTGCCTCCAACAAAACCTCAGCCTGTGATAAACTGTGTCCTCCAAACCTGGGCACATGGAGCCAGACCCTCCAACCCATCCCACAGCTCCTCACTGCCCACAGCAGCCACGTCAAGGAAGAAAACATTTTAAATGCATTCTGCATCTCAAATACGCCTTGAACCATTACCCAGCCCCTGAAGAATCCACGGAGTGTACAAAAAACATTTATTTGCCTTGAATGGGGAAAGGAACTGACAGGTGACAGGGACAAGGAGGTGCCTGGGACATCCTGGTGCTGCAGGACCCAAGCAGCTGGAGCTCCCAGGAGCTGGGGCCAGAGAGGCCCCGGGGCTGCTCTGCTTTGCACAGGGACAATCCACTGAGCAGCATCTGTGAACAGGGAGTGAGTGCCACAGTCAAACTCACACCACTCGTGGGCCTTGCTCCCTGCTCCTTGTCGCTCCCCGTGGGACCCAAGGACATGGCTTTATTCCCTGTCCCCTCACTGCATTAAAAACGTGCAGATCAGCAACCTGACATTAAAACAGAAATACTTATTTCAGTTGATCTCCCCTGACAAGTTGCATAGCCCATATCTTTCCCCACAGGCAGCCACAGCTCCAGGCTG